GAGGGGGAAGAGAGATAGGGGGGTGGAGGAAAGAGGAGCAGACAATAGCTGCATCGCGAATTGTCGTCGCATGTGCAAGCTCTATGCTAATACTGTTCTCAACAACCATAAGTAATTGTGCAAATAATCGGAGTACTGCTGAGGCGAGAGCGAACGAGCTGGCTGGCTGCTGCTGTAAGTATATATTTGTCGCTGGGTGCATTTTGGCCCTTCTAAAAGAGAATGAAAATGATACGCCAGGGAAATCAGAGCCCCGACGCCGTGTGACCGCACCGAATCACTCTCTCAATACTATTACATCAAAACAATTTCATTAAAATTGCTTCTGAGTTAAATCAAAAAAATTTATGACTCGTTTTTATAAATTTCTGCTCCGAACATAAAACACACAAATACTTTCTGCAATTGCTATAGGACCAGTCACAACAAACGGGAAGCTTATGCCAGTTCTATCTGAAGTTTGCACCACAACGAAGAACAGTTAGCCCAGAACTGAAGAGCTTGCAAGAACTACGCATGGCATATCACTTGCATAGAGACCTTTATTAGTAGCTGACTTAACTAGCCAATCGAAAACCGCCTCATCGTCCCCATGCGTAGTCATTCACGTGCCTATTGGCATCCAGTAGAAAACCAGTTAACTTAATTTCATTCCCGATATATCTGATTTTTTAACAATTATTAATTTGGTCAACTGGCTTCTGAAATAGAGCTGAAATGGTGCACTTTCCCTAGTAAATTACTCAATAAAACAGGATGAATAAAAAGATGAGATTTAAACGTTTTGCTAATAACATTCGCAGGTGCTCAAACAGTAGATGGCCAGCGCATACAGGGTTCTTTCATGATGATGATTCAACTGATGCAGCATACTAATCGTTTCACATACTAATTTTGGTTATCAGTGTTAATTCGTATTTGGGGCACGATTGCATTGCGAAACAATGGATTTAAAACCGATCTTGAAATACTGAACCTAGTTTACGAGGCTTACTGAAATCTCAAAATCTTCAGCTCCAGTTTTTTGAAACTTTCATTTTATTAAGGCAACTAAGATTCGAAACAAGATTACGGGTGAGAATCAGAAAGCGGTGTAAGTTGATTCATTTCTTTAGCCTTGTTCACTTTCATTAAGTTCAGCCTTCCAACTTTCATCTTCCAGAAATTAAACATTTATATACATAAGCATGCGCACATTATATCGCTACAAGTTTCTATTTTGCGTAATCTATTTATATAAAATCCATATAGTTCAGCAACCATTTAGAATTTTTGCAACTATGCTCATCTTGAACAAAATCATTCAAAGCGAAATCAAAAAAAAAAACTCTGAATAAATCGAAACAACTTGCGTGTAACCGATTCTCGCTCCAGAATTATACGTTTTCATTTCTCAAAAATATAAAAAATAAGCAAAAGTCAAAATTTTGGTGTTTGTTTTAATATTTAAAAATAATTTTGTTTTAGCTGATCGCAAGAACAGAGAATCTTTTCGGTAGGTACAGTCGCCGAATTATTGGTTTCCTTTTCCTCACTTACGATTTTGACCCCCACAATCCATAGTTGGAATCGATCGAAACTCATACTGATAGAATATTTCTCTTTCCGAAAAAAAAAACTGTCGGGAAACTGTTGTCACTATCAAAAAAGAATTGCGTGGTAGCAAAATCCGGTATTTCCAGATCATTTCCATGATAACTAGAGAGAAAGATGAGGGCGATGGATTGACGTCAACAAAATCTTTGAAAATTTTTTGGAAAGATCTTCGTTTTTGACAAGAGATATAATAAGAAAAAGCGAAGTCAATGTAGAGAAGGGATTATTAAGGACAGAAATTGGCAATAATAGCTTTTCCGGCAACAGAAATTCGGAACTTATTTAATATTTGTAAGTTTCAAATTAATCAAAAAACTTTTTATTTCGTTGGTTCTATAATATTAATATATTTGTAGCGAATATGCATACATCACGCAATGTACACTTGCAAAATTTGCAAACATTTTTAAGCAAAAATAAACATATCTACTTAAGCTTTTACAGATATCATCGACGATAATGCTATTCAGTTTGCAAGAAGCGGAGGCACCCAAAATTGGCCCAAATGGTAACACGTAGCAATAGCAATTTCCTGTTGCCAAGGCTTCCAACAACACCTCCATCACCAGCAAGTGGACAGTTTAAATAGTCTTGGCAATCCTTGCAAACTCCATTGTACTGGCTGTGATTACTATCACCCTATGTTCACCAGCCACTCATAGCCCTCCGCTTACAGTTGCCTGCAAAGTTCTGGATGCTTTTGCACAGTGCAAGCTTTACAAGACCCTCCCTCTCGAAATTCCTGAGAGCGGAGACACTCGCGACAGAACCGAGTAGGAGCGCTTCGTCAACAACAACGGCAGGTTAGCAGTTCTTGATTTCATTTCTTCTGCTAGCGTGCTACAGGCTTGCCTGCCTGCAGTTCTCGGCATCTCGGCGTCGAAACTATCTAAGCGTAACTGCAGGTCATAGAAGAAAAGGACAAAACATGTCAAAATTACGGGAGCAGAGGTCATCACGAGAAAGCGTTTTGGCAATTCCTCAGCTATGCATTATCCTTATGGCAATCGTTCTATACGCCGTTATGAAGTAGTTCCCGAATTCCCAAAAACAATTACTTTTGGAACAGTTCTTTTGCCTTGATCAGGGTCATTACAACTTGAGTAAGTAAAATAGTTCAGAGAGGTCAGCTTGAACACCATACTATTTACAAAATGAAAGTCCCACGCTGACAGCTTATCGGAAGATTTCGCGGATTTGTGATTAGAATACATCGTCTTAAAGGATAGGACAACGAGAGTTAATCCGAAAAAGATCCGTAATCGGCTTATTTGTCGTGAGTGAATCCAGCACACCCACTCGTATTCTCTCCCTCGTGTCCTTCTTGTTGTCCTAATGACAGAGTGTGATTTCATGATCTACCAGCGGAATGTTTTGAAAAAACTAGCTTCTCGGTTGAAGAAAAGTTGCAGTTTAAATTTTACTCGTCAGTAAAATGAGGTTTATTCTTGCAGCAGAAAGTAGCAAATATTGTTATTTTAAGTGATGCAACATGACGCTCTTAGCCCTGCATGCTACGCACGTTATTACAATAGCTGTCACTGCTGCTCTGCTGCGTTCCTACTGCTGTCGCTACTCTGCTGCTGCTGCTGCTGCTACTGCTGCTGCTACTGCTGCTGCTGCTGCTGCTGCTGCTGCTGCTGCTGCTGCTGCTGCTGCTGCTG